ATAGCAACACATGTTACTTCAGGCCTGCGGACCCTGTGAGAGAAGTGTCGTCTGCAGAGGATTGTGGCAACACAGAGATGAGAGTTCAGCGCAACTGGAGGAACCCACAAAGTTCAGCTGGGAGAGTGCCATCTCCCATAGCAACAGGAGAAAGCCTGCCAACCAGGAGAAGGGGCTACAAGGGAGATGTGGTTCCGTATCCCAAGAAGGTTATCGGTGGAACCATACCCTGCCTGGAATGTGGTCAGTTTGGGCATGGTATCTTTACCTGCCCCAGATTATGGAATACCACTGATGAGGGTGGTACTGGGCAAAAGTCTTCATCTGCAAGCCTAGATTCGTGTTTAAAAATGTTGGCAGCCACCTCTAGCAACAGTGAGGAAGTACCTGTTGTGCCTGCAGGGGGTGCCAAGGAGTCAGAAGTGCCTGCCACAGTATCATCCTATAGCTGCATGGATGAACTGGCTGGCCAAAGAGAGGAGATGACAGAAAGGATCCAGATACCACGCACTCAAGTGAAGAAGGTGAAGCCTGTTGAAGTGATGGGTAAGACTGGTACTTTTGAGAAAAATGTGAGAGATACTAATGCAATGATTGAGACTGACTTTGAGACTCTCTGCTATAAATTTGGGATACTCTCAGTTGGGAAACCCACTGCTGGTGATTGTGAGAGAGACTTGCCTCTGTATAATGCTTTTAGTGGGGAGGCAACAGTTAAAAATGTGAAGAGTACTGATATTGGGGTTGCACCAATGTCTTATAAACAGAATGCTAAATTAAATGTAGTAGGGGTGACCACTAAGCAGGATGTGTTATCTCCCCTAGCAACGGTGGTTAAGGTAACCCAGGATAACTATGCTGTTGCTCTGGTGGACCAGAGCGTATCTGAATTGAGTGATGAGAATTTGTTATTTCAGTGTGGCAATGGTGAATCTAAAAGGTATGAATGTATTCATAATGATGGGTCAATGCAATCCACTAATGCAAAAGTTTTTGTAGTGAATGACACGCCACTAGGTCACGGTGGTGAGAGTGTGAAATTGCAACCTGCTGTGCCTAGAAAAGGAGTCTCTCAGTGTGATATGGATTATGAAAAATATAGGTAATGGGTCTGATACAGAGCCACTCTGTCCCTCTGTGTCTTCTTCAGCGGTTGGAGTGGTACTGCGTAGTACCTCTGATGGGATCACAGGGACGATGGACTGGGACAGATGGGCAACGAGCTTGTTGGCGTTAATAAAAGATACCTCTGTTGCCAACAATGAAGTGGACACAACTTCTGCTGTGCTGAATAGAGTGACTGTGGAGCAGCTATTAGTCCAGGGCGCTCCTGTCGCTGCCAAAATTAACTCGCTGCTGGTAAAAGGCACCATTGAGGATAAACACTCAGCAGAAGTTTTGCTCACAGCCCATAAAGGAGTTAATGGTGTGGTATACCAAACTGATATCCATAGAGAAGCCGTGGAAGAGCTCATTGACACTGAGCCTCAGAGTATTTGGGTGAATCCCACACCTGGTTACGCTCTGGGAGAGCCCCAGGTTATTGTGTTGGGTACCTTGAGCCGAGAGGAAGCCTCTTTAAGAAGCACCACCTCTGAGGCATCAGTAAATGAGGGTCTCCATGTCTCCAGGAAGGTCTTATGTGTGGATCAGGCTGTCTTTTTATAACAGACCTGCTGATGGAAATGTTAGCCTTCTGGAGTGTACAGCCGGTGTATACCTTGCTGTCTCTTCCATGTTCGGGGGAGCTGGTACAGCGGAGTACCGCTAATTGGAGCTGGGTATTACAGGCTATACAAGACAAAGATGGTCAATATAGGAATTCTGTGATACCATCCTTGTTGGTAATGGTGAAAATTGTCTTTCAGTGCATCGCTGGGTTGCTTCATAGCAGTAATCGGTGTGAGAGGCACACCAGAGTACTGTTGGACAGGACAGAGGTTTGGGCAGAAGTGCCAGAAGACACATGTATATGTGATGTGGTTGGGGTTGTCTACCCAAATGCAGAATTATGTAAGGATGGTTTGGCATCAGGACAGTTGCTGGCAGAGTCTTTTGTGACAGCGAAGTCAATGGGTAGTGATGTTTCCATGGGAGACACCCACTCCGCTGTGTGTAATTCCTCTCCAGAAACTGCCCTGCCAACTACTTGTGAACTGCGTTCTGACAAGAGTTTTTTGACTAATGATAAAAAGGGAAATGTGTTGATGAATTTGGATTGTCTGATTACTATGAGTGATAACAAAAAGAATGGTAGACCTGGTGGTCAAGTTGACATGGTAGCTGGTCATCCTGAAAAAGGTAATGAGTGCTTAATAGACACAAGAGAGGTTAAGAGTATAGTAATAGGCCCCCTACAGGTTCAGGAAGGTCACTCTGGAAAAGTTTTCCAAAGGTCCAGTAAACGCCCAAGTTGTAAGAATGAAAGGTCTAAGGAAACTGGCCCAAAGCTTAACAAGGGGACGTTAAAAGTGTTTGATTCCCAAATAAAAGAGCCCACCTCTATTACTAAAGGGTCTAAAAATATAACCCCATCAAAATTAAATAAAGCAAAAAGGGATGGTCTAGAGGAAGTTGAGGGAGCACGTTGTAATGTAATATTACAGGTACCAGGCACTTAAAGCTTAGGCGTCAACCCCGGGTTACAAAGGGTACTGAGTTTTGTAAACCCCCTAGTGGTAAAAGGACTAGCATAGTCTTAAGGAAATTAGAAAGGCCGCGCTTTTGGAAGCACACTCGTAAAAAGGCACGGGGATGTCATAGAGCCCAAGTAAGGGTAGCAAGAGGAGACAAGGGAAGTCATCTCTTGGGGCAGGGAGTAGTGTCTCCCTTGGATGAAAATGAAGTCAGCCAGGATTGGACCTTTACAGGTGATAGCCCACACAGAAGGTCTAAAGCAAGGGTTTTAGGTTTGTGTGTTCCGCCCCCTACGGGGTCAAAACAAAGGGGGGGGAGATATGTGGCAGTGCGGTGTCCTGCCACGGTCAAAATAAAGCTGAAAACCCTGGATTCTCAACCAGGCAGGTTGAGGGGCGCCAGAGAGTTGATATATTGCAGAGGAAACTGGCTTTTCAGTTTCCTCATATATTCATTAAGTCTGTTTTGGGATCTGGAGCCTGAAGATTTCAAAGAGATCTGGGAGGGATGAAATCTCCAATCCGGGGTCCGTGTTTTGAGAACCCCCAGCACACTGATTGCACAGGTGTGTGCAGGCCTTTTTGTAGAGGCCTAACCATGGTTCTGGGCTCCACCCCGGCAGATGGAGTCAGGAGGGCTCCACCCCGGCAGACAGGAGGTCTCTGCCTTGGAGTCAGGTGAAAGCCAGATTAGCTGTGTGCTAGTGGCCATAATTTGGGAAGAGTCTGCAGGAGACAGACGGTGAACTGTGTACAAGCCAGGAGGCTGAATCTTTGTTGGTATTTCTTGATGGTGGATACCCCTGCGTAAGAAGCATTTGTGTTATTTGAACTTTCTTTAAATAAAAGTGGGCAAAAAAGCCCTTAAAGAAGCGAGTTGCTGTGTGCTTAAACAAGAAAAGCTCTACCAGTTGAAGCGAGTTCATACCTCTTTTAACCACTTGCCCTCTAGAGGATTTACCCCCCCTTAATGACCAGGCCTCTTTTTGCTACTCAGCGCTGCACTAATTCAAACTGATAATTGCGCAGTCATGCAATGCAAACAAATAAAGCTTTCTTTCGGTGGTACTATATCACCTGTGCGTTTTTTTATTTTTCGCGCTATAAACAAAAAAAAATTTTTTTTTATTTCGGCTATAAAAAATATATAGTAAACTCAAAGTTAGTTATAAATTTAGACCAAAATGTATTCTGCTACATGTTTTTGGTAAAACAAATCCCAATAAGTGTATATTGATTGCTTTTTGTGAAAGTTATAGCGTCTACAAACTATGGTATAGATACTGCAATTTATGCCATTTTTATGCTATAAAGAGCTGCACTAGTTTAACTGACAATTACATGGTCATGCAACATGGTACATAAATGAAATGTATGTCCTTTTTTTCACACAAATTGTGCTTTCTTTTGGTGGTATTTGATCACTTGTGCGCTTTTTATTTTTGGCGCTATAAACAAAAAATTTCTTTGAATATCCAAAAAAACAAAAATGTTGTCATAAATTTAGGCCAAAATGTATTCTGCTACATGTTTTTGGTTAAAAAAATTCAAATAAATGTATATTGATTGCTTTGTGTGAAAGTTATAGCATCTACAAACTATGGTATAGATAATGGAATTTACGCAGCTTTTACTTTCTGACTGCTCATCACATTTCTTGAGGTGCTAAAATACCAGCATAGTACAAACACCCCCAAATGACCCCTTTTCGGAAAGTAGACAACCTAAGCCAGTGATGGCGAGCCGGCACGCCGAGCCTTATCTGTGGGCACGCCAGGAGAATACCGTATTTTTCGCTCCATAAGACGCACTTTTTTTCCCCCAAAAAAGGGGGGAAAATGTCAGTGCGTCTTATGGAGCGAATATAGAGCGGCCGGTCCGGTATTTCCACCGCCGCCGTGTCAGAATACCGGGCCGGCCGCTCAGCTCTGCAGTGGGACCGTACCTGTCCCTCTATCCAGCAGCGCGCTGTCTTCCCGGCTTCTGTAGTGTGCGTGACAGCCGGGTTCCCAAGTGCGCATGCACAAGAAGCAGTGCTCTTTGTGAATGGTAAGGCGGTACCTGGGACACATGACAGATCCCAGAAGCCGCCGGACCAATCACAAAGCGCAGCACTTCTCGCGCATGCGCACTGGGCATCCGGCTGTCCGAGCGCCCACACTACAGAAGCCGGGAAGACAGCGCGCGGCTGGATAAAGGAACAGGTAAGATAAAAAAAAAACTCTGCGGAAGTAAGAGCGGGTACCTGTCAAATTCGGGTACCCGCTCCCCCTCCCTCCCCAAAGGTCAGCAGTCATCTGTACTGTCCGCAGTCTCTGGTCATCCCTGTACTGTCCGCAGTCTCTGGTCATCCCTGTACTGTGTCCGCAGTCTCTGGTCATCCCTGTACTGTGTCCGCAGTCTCTGGTCATCCCTGTACTGTGTCCGCAGTCTCTGGTCATCCCTGTACTGTGTCCGCAGTCTCTGGTCATCCCTGTACTGTGTCCGCAGTCTCTGGTCATCCCTGTACTGTGTCCGCAGTCTCTGGTCATCCCTGTACTGTTAATTAGTTTGCACTACTGTACGAGTTGTTTTTTCTAAACCAAAAGCTCGATATTCAGGTTTCATTGCAGTGTTGGCACTTTGAAAGAAATAAGTTGGTTTTGGGTTGCAGTTTGGGCACTCGGGCTCAAAAAGGTTCGCCATCACTGCCCTAAGCTATCTGCTGAGAGGCATACTGAGTGCATAGAAGATTTATTTTTTCCCACAAGTTTCTGGAAAATGACAAACTTTTTTTTTTTTTTTTTTTTACACAAAGTTGTCATTTAAATTATATATTTCTTGCACAAGCCATGGGTATATGTGGAATTACAGCCTAAAATACATTCTGCTACTTCTACCGAGTATGGAGATACCACATGAGTGAGACAGTTTTGAAGGCCCTGAAATGCCAGGATGGCACCCCCCCCCCCCAAATGACCCCTTTTTGGAAAGTAGACACCCCAAGAAATTTAAAAAGAGGCATGGTGAGCATTTTGCAGATCTCATTTTTTCTTACAAGGTTTTTAAATATAAAAAAAGAAAAGAAAAAAAAAAAGTTTGTCTTTTTTTCTTCTTCATTTTCCAAAAACTTGTGGCAACAAATGAGATCTGCAAAAAACTCAAGATGATTTTTATCAAATTCCTTGGGCTGTCTACTTTCCAAAAAGTGGTCATTTGGGGGGGGGGGGGGGGGGGGTTGGTGATATCCTGGCATTTCAGGGCCTCCTAAACTCTGACAGGTAGTCTGGAAGTGTAATGAGGAAATAAAGCCCTTTAAAATCCCTAAGATGCTTATTAGATTTTGGGGTCCTGTACTTGGTTAGACTGCCAAAACATCTCTCACACACTCGGGAGAAGTAGCAGAATGTATTTTGGGGAGTAATTCCACATATACCCATGGCATGTGTGAGCAATAAATCATTTAAGTGACAATTTTGTATAAAAAAAAAAAAAAATTTGTTTGTCATTTTCCAAAAACTTGTGGTAAAAAAATAAATTCTTCTGTTGATTCAACATGCCTCTCAGCAAATAGTTTGCGGTGTCTACTCTGCAAAAAGGGGTTGTTTTGGGGGGTGGGGGCATTTTATGCCCAGCATTAGAAGTTAATGCCACACATCATTCACTCTTCTAACCACCAGAAGACCAAGCCTTTTCTGATACTATTTTTTGCTAGGAAATTAATTTAAACCCCAAACATTATACATTTTTTTTAAAGCAAACACCCTAGTTAATAAAATGGTGGGTGATGCAATTTTTTATGTCACATAGTACATATTTTTTTTACTTTTAATGCACAAAAACACAATATATTGGCCAATTATTTGGTAAAATATAAAAAATGATGCTATGCCGAGTAAATGGATACCAAACATGACATGCTTTAAAACTGTGCATGCCCCGTGCAATGGCGACAAACTGCATACGTTTTTAACCATTAGCCGCCCGGCCAATGGCCGTTTGGCGGCTTCAGATGTGTCCCTGCATTCCGGGTGCACGCCACATGCGCCGTTTGCGCTAATGCAGAGCGGCGCAGCAGTGCGATCTGTCACCGGCCGTGCACCTCGGACACGGCCGATGACAGATCAGAGTACCGGCTCCCGTTGCTGGTACCATGTGACCTGCTGTGACCAATCACAGCAGGTCACATGACAGTTGTATACAATGGGTGGCTTCATTCATGATGCCATCCATTGTATACTAGTGCCTAGCTGTGAATGGTCACAGCTAATCACATGCACATGTCATGTGATTAGCTGTGACCAAATCACAGCTAAGCACAAAAAAAAAAAAAAAAAAGCTGAATGAATCGATTTCATTCAGGTAAATGCTTGCTTATAGCAAAGTATATCTTTGCTATAAGCAAATTGTGTAAAAAAAAAAAAAAAAAAAAAATACTGATCACTTCCCCAAAGTAGTACAATGTTACTATGGTAACATTGTACTACTTTGGTCATAGTAAAATATGAAAAAAAAATCTTAATGTAATAAAAAATTAAATATAATAAAAAAATAAAAACAAATATATATTTTTTTTTTTTTTCATACTGTCACCAGTCAGTGTCCCTGTTCACCGCCATGCCAGTTATATGATGACGCTGTACTGCACTGGTGACAGTATGTAAAAAAAAAATAGTGAAAATAATTTTTTTTTAATTTTTTTTCATTTTTCCCGAAAAATTATGACAAAAAAATACAACTTCAAAAAACTCGCCATGCCTCTTACGAAGTACGTCGGACTGTCTACTCTGCAAAAAGGGGTCATTTGGGGATATCTGTACTATTCTGACATTCTTGGACCTCAAGAAATTAGATTGGCCGTCAGTACTTCAGGATTGATCAATAATCAGATCTATACCATAGTTTGTGAACTCTATAACTTTCCTACAAACTAAAAAATACATCCTAATTTGGGTTATTTTCACCAAACATGTAGCAGAATACATCTCGGCCTAAATTTATGAAGAACAATTATTTATTTGTAAACTTTTATAACAGAAACAAAGAAAAATGTGTTTTTTTTTTTCAAAATTTTTGGTCTTTTTTTGTTAATTTAGCAAAAAATAAAAACCCCAGTGGTGATTAAATACCACCAAAAGAAAGCTCTAGTTGTGTGAAGAAAATGATAAAATTTTAGTTTGGGTACAATGTTGTATGACCGCGCAATTGTCATTCAAAGTGTGAGAGCGCTGAAACCTGAAAAATGGCCTGGGCAGGAAGGTGTAAAATTGCACGGTATTGAAACGGTTAATATCCATAGGCAACATTTTAAAACCCTGTATGAGCTACCATTTTAGATTTACAGAGGAGGTCTAGTGTTAGAATTACTGCCCTTGATCTGACATTCGTGGCAAACCACTGCTGTTTCCAAACTGGCACAGGGTCAACGCTCAGGAACGCAGGTGTGCGCATGCGCGGGAGGGGGGGGGGGGGGCGAGGGTACTTTTTTTTTTTTTTTTCACTTATTTTGATTTTTTTAATTATTTTTACACTGTCCCTCTAATTTTATTTTTAATGCTATCACAGGGAATGCAAATATCCCCTATAACTTCAATGGGCATTGTCGTATATTCTGTTTTGAGAAATCTGGGGTCTATAAGACTCTAGATATCTCCTCTGCCCTTACATTATCTAATCTCACCGAGATCTATGTGATCAGATACTTTCCCAATTTACAAATGGCGCTGTTTATATCCTGCGAAACTGAAGTGATGAAATGCTCTTAGCTTCTGATTTCTTCGGCTATAGAGATGATTTGCACCATTCTGGTCTCCAATCAGCTCTATGGTCAGCTGGCAGAAACACCGTCTGCATTCTCAGGTTCCCCCAATGGCACGGGACTGCCCGAGTAGGCCGTGGAAGGCAGAGGGGTAGGAGGGCATTGTCTTCCGCTGCTTGTAAAAGCAATCCTGCAGCTAATTAGCCACTAGGATTGCTTTTACATGAAAGCCAATCGCTAGCTGAAGAAAATTATACCAGGATGATGCCTGCAGCTGTAGGCATCATCCTGGTATAACCATTCAAAATCCAGTGATGTATCAGTACGTCTCTGGTCCTTGTTGGGTATATATGCTATGTTCTATTTTTTATTTGTATGCAGCCTGTGGACTGAATGAAAAAAAGAGAAGAAATCTCTGCCAAAAAAAAAATGTGTGGTATGTCCACCATTAAAATATACCACCCTGCATCCACCCACTTCTAATGGTGGGCACACATTAGGTCACATGGTGCCATATGCTCCAGTTCCAAGATTGTACAAATGTCTAAATAGTGGCATGCTTGAATAAAAATTGTCCACGTATAAGTTGTACCCCATATGGAAAAAGGATGACACCAAGTCCCAAACTATCTTGCCACTGCTCCCCATGTACTCTGGGCATCCGGGGGGCTCCACGTGACTATCTTTTCCCTCGTAAATCCTAAACTTATAAGTATAGCCTGTTGTCCTCTTACAGGTCTTCTACATCTTGACCCCATATCTGGCACACTTGCTGCGGAGAAATTGTTTGAATGCAAGGCGGTCAGAAAAATTAATGAGGGACTCATCAACGCAGATTTTTTTTGCTGGGGAATATAGACATCTGCACATTTTTGGTTAAGGTAAGGGGCTGAATTTTGTGTAGCCAGTCAAATTCAGGGTCACCTCGAGGATGACAGAGTGTATTGTCGTTGAAATGCATAAAACACATTATACTCTCATATTTATGCCTGGCCATGGCAGTAGAGAACACGGGCGTATGATGAATCGGGTCTGTGGACCAATACAATCGCAATTCATTTTTTTTAGTAATGCCCATGTTGAGGGTTAGGCCCAAAAAAAAATATATTCGGAAACCGTAACGGGTTTCCATGTGAATGGTCTGGCAAGGTTTGAATTTGGGTTGGTGGCGATACATTGTTGTGCATAAAAATGCTTTGATCCACAATCAATGCATACAGATCTTCCGTGAAAAACAGCTCCAAAAAATCAAGGGGAGGACTTAAATTTGCTATTTCCACCTGAATTCCGGGTTGGGCAGTGAATGGGGGAAGTACGGGTGCTGCAGAATTTGTGGGCTGCCAATTGGGATTTGCAAGCACAACCGGAAGAATACTAGGGGCTCTATGGGCCTGTGTGTGAATTCTTGGTGATTGTGGGACAATACTTGTGCTCGCCACCGCACCAGCTTGTACTGCACTTATGGGACTCGCCACATCAGCAAGTCATACTGCAGTGCTGGTATTATTATACAGGATTTATATAGCACCAACAGTTTGTTCAGCGCTTTACAATATAACGGGAGACAATACAGTTCAATACAAGAGGGTTAGGAGGGCCTGATACTGGGAGCTTACAATCTAACAGGTATGTGAAAGTACTAGACCACTGGTGCTTGCCAGTTCACCAAAAGGTAGCGCGGCACTAGTACTGGCACTCTGCTGCATATGAGAGTCATCAAAATTTACCGGCAAGTGCTAACAGAGATTAGGCCTGATTCTGTGAACACTGCGGTTTTGTGTGCAATGTATAAAGTGACAGTGACTTACTGGCACTGCACTTGCTGGGGGAGAAGGGAGGAGTAAGCGTAGGGGCTAAACACAGGTGCGGGAAGGGGTTAGCCTTTGGAGACAATCAAAGGGTTACCTGTGTGAGGGGAGTGTTTTACTAGGAGGTGTGTGTACCTCTCTGTTACACACTGTTCCAGAAGGCTGTGATCAGCGATCCCGGAACAGTGTGCAGAAAGCTAATAGGGAGGAGAGCTCCATTGGAGACAATCAAAGGGTTACCTGTGTGAGGGGAGTGTTTTAC